AAGCTGCTTGGTTAAGGCAGACAACTTTAACCTTTTGAGAAAGTAGTCTTACATGTGTGACTGTGTAGAAAAATATCAAACAGAGGAAATCATTGTGCTTTTACTATGAGGTAGAGAAATCTCTGCAAATTAATCTGTAATTTAGTGCTGTTATTTCGTAGTTGAGAATTTTTCATCAAATGCTGCTGTTGGGGCTACATTCATACTGTCTTTGTTTCTTTGCCACTTTTTGTATATTGATAATAGTCTTTCTTTGTAGCAGGCCAGTGTTGTTTAACAAAGAAATTACTCTTTTGCTTGTTTTTGCATGCCTTTCCTGTTGCTCAGGGCATGCCTGTCATGGTAAATGTTTGGCTTCTTGCATAAAGCTCATTTTGGATATTTCTCTTTTTGAAAATTGCTTTATAAATCAATTTATCACATCAAAAAAGAATCTGTTTGTACTTTTGCCCTTGGGACTCTTTATTTTGACTTGATAGGTCTTTCTGACTGGTGTCAACTTGCCAGTTGGACCTGTGCATGTTGAGTCAATAATTTCTTTTCTGTAATACTGTTTAAGCAGATACTTTAGCCTTTTTTTAGTGATACTTTCCCTCTATTTATCCCTGTCTACTTTTACAGTTTTATTACCTTTTTCTTTTTCAAACAGAGGCAGATTTGAAGAACTTTCATTTCTTTGATATAGTTTCCCCTGACTTGCTACTGGTAAAGACAACACCTAAAGTGTATTTCCCTATCATCCAGAAAGGTCCATGACCTGTCAATATAATGAAGCTAAGCCTTGTGGCAAGCCAAATCTGTTCTTTAGTTCATTACAATTTTAAATTGCTAAACTGATGTTTTATCTTCCTTTTTTTTTTTTTTACTGTCCATTTTCTTCTAGGAGTTTTATTCCTAGGAAACTAGGAAAGTTTCATAAAGAATCAAAATAACCTCTGTTAAAGGGTTGCTTTTAAGGCTTTTAACTTAGAGTCTAAAATACAAATAATTTTTAGTTCCATTTTAACAAAATAAATTGTTTTTCTGCATCCTATAATTTAAAGAGAAAAATCCAAACCTGTTTAGGTGTAAGGAACTTTCTAAGAATATACTCTAATAATAATGTATGGAAGCATTATGCTAAAAGAGATGAGAAATTATCTGAAACTAGCAGTGAGAAGTAAGAGTTTTCACTCTTCTGGGATCATCTGAATGTTGCTCTTGATTTCTTGATTAAATTTGTGATTTATACTAGAGGCTCTTTCCAGTTTTCCGCTTTTATATAATCGATGTTTAAGTAGAAGATAGCACAGCTTTAATAAAATAAGTGATAACTATATGGCTACAGGTTATAAGCAAATAAAGATGCTCTTGAATTTGTTTTACTGCACTCAGCCATTAATCTAATCAAATATTTATAGTGAAAGGCATTTAGAGGATGCTGCGTGACTGTATCTTATGCACGTTTGAACAACTGAGATATATTGAAGTTGACATCAACATTTTATGGCTACAGTGTGCCAATCTAAGTAAAAATACCCTTTTACTTAGAACAGCTCATTTTTTGAAAAAAACCTCAATTAAGGAAAGTGTGCCTGAGCTTGCTAAGAAAAATGCTTAAATAATTGTAGTTGAGTTTTTATTTGCAAATCTTAATTTTCTCACTTCTCAAATGTACAGACTAGTGTCTGAATGAAACTAAGTGCTATGGCTTTGCAGGGGAATTGAGGGGAACATTTCATCTGACACATTTTAAGCATAGTTCCAGATTGAGCAGACACCACTAAAATTAACATCTGTGTGTAGTCAGCTTGAAGCCAAAAGAGATGCTGGTTTGTGCTGAGATAAAACATGACTGCACCTTTCAGGATTATCTCCTTGATTATTGTAATGCTTATCAGTGTATCTGTAGATGGTGACCCTTTTATAGCAAAAGGGGTCCATGATATCCCATTTTAATTTCCAGTCGGATGGAAATCTTCCATTCTGTGATCCTGCTGCAGTTGGTTGGCCCTTCTGAGGAGAAGGTCAGGCTGGAAACCTGGGTATACCTATTTCGAAGTGACTGTATTACAAGGAGACATCCGTTAGTCTGAACACGGGCTTAAACAGGGCAGTGGAATAACCTTGGTTACATTTCATCTTTCTGTGTTCTCCTTAAAGAGAAAGCTACTTCGGGGGCAAAACAGAATAATAGTGCTCTGAATCCTGCATTGTTTTAAACTACAGGCTGCACTAGTTAGTCCTACCATCTTAGCCTCTTAGTACTTTCTTGGTAACAATGTAGGGGCTTTTTTCAAAAAGGGACAATGTAGGAGATTTCCCTTCTGCGGCCATTACAGCATTAGAAAGGAGATTTCCATGATTTTGATGCCACCTTTGCTGGGCTGTGATCAGGGGAAGCAAAAGCTATGTAGTGCGAAAAGGAGGAAAGGGAACATTAAGATAGAGGAAAAATATTTGAGGAAGTTGGGTGTGAGGAAGTAGAAGCAAATACAAAGTAAGAGAAGAAGGAAGAGAGAGAAAGTGGGGAAGAGATGGAAATAAAAGTAAATTGAGTCTTTGACTTCAGTAAGGAAATTCTTTAGATTTTGATCCTAACTGCTGCTGTTCTGATGTTGCTATTGAACCATTGTGAACTTGGGTATGTACTTGGGTACAGATTACTCAATGCAAGTGTGTTATGTCTGAGCTTTTCATTAGGTCTGCTGATCAACATAGTTAGAAGTCATCATGTCTTCACGATGCATCAAGCCATCAAGATGCAATTGGTTGTTGTCAGCATCCAGTTCCTGTGATGACCCAGTTACTCCCTAATATTAGAAAAGATAATGTATGTATCGTCATAATATTATACTCAAAATGTTTTTGACTTAATTCTGGCCACTCTGGGTTTACATATATTAAAGACTTGGGTATTGTCTGTAAGTGCTTATATTATGTGTTCTTTGGATAGCCTTTTTTTTTTTTTAACCCTTTTTTTAACCCATAATGAGCAAGTGACTTCAGAGATGGAATTAATGATAGCGTATGCTATTTCTGCAGTAATTGGTAGATTGCCTTCATTGAAATGTGTTTATCTGGACTATGCTTTTGATAGGTATGGTTGCTGACACATGCAGTGATTTATGGAGGAAAGGTTATATATACTATATGCAAGCAAGCAGGCTACAATTCTTGAAAACTTCTCTTATGTTTAATTCCCATTTCAGCTTAGCTCTTCTCTAAATAGCTGATTTCCTCAACCGAAGTTGAGGCTGGCAAGGAGACACATTGGTTACTTAACCTGCTGGGGAAATGGTGACCTGTCTCTGAAGATTCAAATTCCAGAGAAAGTTCCAGTAACGTTCTGTGATGCTTAGGCTGCTGAAGGTGTTTGCTTTGTAACCGTGTCTCCTGAGAATTTCGCTCCGTGGTTCCAAATCGATGTCCGCCGATGGGCGCAGCCCGTCAGCGCGCGCGGCGGGCCGGGCCCACGCAGTTACCCCGCTGTGCCGGGGCCTGCACACAGGCTGCTGGGGCGGCTCCCGCGCGTCGCGGCCGCGCTTGGCATCCCCCGGCATCTGCAGGGTCAGCAAACACAGAAATTCTTGTGAGCCGCCAGGCTCCCAGAAATGCCCGCTTGTCGCCTCATTGATAAATGCCACGAATAGCAGCAGCGGCAGCATGTAGGACTCGGCTCAAGAGGCGAGGCGACGTGCCGTTCGTGTTCCAGCAAGCGGCTGCATTTTCACCCTGCAGAGGTTTCTGGTGCAGGAAAGGCAGGTAAAACTTCAGGATTAATTGCCATTTGCTGAGGCTGTTGTACCTGCGAGCTACAGAAGCAGCTGGTTGAGGAGTGTCTGCCTTTCATTGCTGCTATAAAGCAGCTGACTGTACTGTTGAAATGAACATCAAACAAACCTGTGATCTCTCTTTTCTGTTGTTATTTTTTTTGCCTCTCTTTTTCCCTCCATTTGTGGAGGGAATGACTCCATTAAAGACTACTACAGAAATTATTTTTAGGCAGACTAAACTTCCGTAAAACATGTTTTTATCTTGGAGTACCTGACGAGTGGCTTAGTTGGTTTGAGAGATCACACGGTTATATATGGAAAAAGGCAAAGCGACTTTGTCTTCATTCTTTCTACCCGTCAAAATCTCTGCAGTATTGAGTGTTAGGCAGAAGTTATTCATGTTCATTAAAAGAAACGTGTGTGGGGGGGGGAGGGGCTTAACTTTCTGGTTTGATGTGATCTGTCTTATTTTCTTTTTTGACTCAAAGATAATCAGTAGGAAGAAATGAGACAGTTCTCAGCTGCATAGTGCTTTAGCTAGGGCAGTTCGTTTTCCAGACTCCGACATCTCCTCACTTTTGTTGCTGTACTTACTCTTTTGGTTTGTCAAAGACAGTGTAGTGGAAAAACATAGCTTTCCATGCTGCGTTTGAGCAGTTTGACTGTAAGAATTGACATCAACTCATATTATCATGATCATTTTTCCTGTCGGGATCCTTTTAGCAGTTCTTCTGCAGGCAGACAAAGATCCTTTTTTTTTTTTTTTTCCCTATAAATGTTTATGCATGAATAGGATGAGATAAAAGGAAATTAAGATAAATTGAGATAAAAACAATACAACTTTTTACATTTATGATAACTTAAAAAGCAGCTTTGAAGCGTGTTCCTGCATGTGCAATTTAGTGAGTTTCTTGCCACTTCAGTTGTGTAAAAATGGTGCAGAATTTTACCTATCCATTCAAGTTGGATTTTGATAAATTTTTACCCCCTAAAAATTATCTTTGTCATGAATATATATACATATATTTATATATATGTTTATAAGAGAGATAGAACACACGAGCACTGACAAATGCTATATATATAAATATCACTCAAAATATTATCAGCAGTGTATCATAACAAAGCTTTATAATGTCTTATTGATATTTTAAAAATTACTATTCTCCAATTACAGCAATCTGTTTTGTCAGCTGAATTTGTACATAAAACTAAACACTTACTAACAGTAATTTCGTTTTTCAGAAAAGATCAAAAGGCCAGGTGCTGTTCGAAAAAGTATGTGAGCATCTCAATTTACTGGAAAAAGACTATTTTGGACTGGTGTTCTATGAGAATTCGGATCAGAAGGTAAGTCTGTGGAGTTCTTGTTCGGTTTTGTTGTTGTTGTTTTGCGTATTCTTATGTGCTGCTAGTGATCAATTAAGGAGGCTGCGTTAAATGTATGCTGTGAAAAACTGTTTGATTAAATCGTCCCAAAATGGCAGTGACGGTCTGTTGTAAGCTTGCAATGTATTGGATACTGACATCTATGAAAAGATATGTAACAATGTGCTCATTTGTTGCTTTAAAGCAGAAGGATATCTGCTACCTGACTTTGCAGTAGTTTCCCAGCTTGTCTCAAGTATGAAAATACTGGCATCCTGTAAAGATGAGACAAGAGTTAGCTCATCACGGGCATTGAAGGTTTCTTTTAGAAAGACTTGGTTTAAAAGAGGTGTTTTGATATGACTATATTCAACTAAGACTTTAAATACATCTTGTTAGTATACTCTTCTTGCTATGGCTTACAAAGAGGATTGTCAAGCACACCTAGATTGCTGAGATGAGAAAAATCCTGAAGCCAGTTAATTGCATTCATTCAATTGCATTCAATTACTAGAACTAATTTAACTTGCAAATTGAAATGAAAAAAAAAGTAATATTTTAATTTTAAAATCTCTGTTGTTGTGATAGGAAACATCATTGCATGAGTACTGTACTTGATATAGAAGGCTTTGTGTTTTTTTTCAGGCTTCAACTTTTAAAAGCAGAGCAGGAAAGTCTGGACCAGTATAAATTATGTCTTTCCTATTCAGGCTTCCTAAGAAACTCAAGTAAACCAGTGGGTTTCTTCAATCTTTAATTGACGGGAGAGGGGGGGTGTTTGGGGGAACCTCTATCCCTACTTTGGACATGTAATTTGGAAAGAGATTGATTATCAAGGCTAAATTATTAAACTATTATGTTCCTTGGAACATTCACTCCGATTTCCTTCTTAATGTGAGAAGGAAAAGGAAGGAGAGGTCAGTTGTGGATTGGAGAAGGGAGGTACTTTAAATTCGGAAATTCAGGTAATTTTGTTCTCCGAATGCGCAGTGTTTTGTGCTTGTTAAGCAGGGGTTGTCTGTTTGCCAGTTGATCAAGATGAATGAGCTTTTCATTTTAAATTGATTTCCAAAGCTATTAGGACATTACTTGTTTTGTGCCACTGACAGAGATTTTACAAATTTAGATATATCAACAAGATGATAACAGCTGTATTTTTATTACTGTTTTTTCTTATCCTTCCCTGAAGGCCAGTTGTTGTATTCTTGCCCTTTGCTCAGTAACTAGCAAACTATATTTGATACCCAGCAGCATCAGCCCATGAGAGATGTACTCAAGTTTTAAGACTCTATTTGTGTCTAAGCTACCATGCAGCACATTGACTGTGTTGATAAAACTGATGAGAGAGATAAGAGGGGGGAAAAAAAGAGTTGGCAGAATTCTAAGTCAGGTGCAAAAAGGTGAGGAAGGTAAGGTTGTAGTACAACTTGAAGTCAGGAATTGAAGGAAAGAAAAAAAAAGAGAATTTGGGAGCTTTATGGATTTTTTTTTTTAATAGATAAGCAATTCTTAGGGACTTCTCAGAGCTTGACAGATGCTTAGGGACACTGACCAATTGTCATTTGCCTTTACTTAATCCCAGTGCGTCCATGGGCCATCTGCAACCAGTTTTCTGATTTCCTACTGTGATGATTAGTACAATAGATAGAATACAAGTAAAATTGTTAAAACAAAATATAAAATTAAGGAGTTTTCAAGTCATCTTTCGGATGGTTTTGCTAAAGCTGTTTGCGAAAGATAGTTTTGTTCCTTCTTGTAAATGCTTAAAACTTCATTATTGTACAGTATTAAAAGAAATCTAAGGATCACAAAGTGACAGAAAAGTAGGAAAAGAGTAAGCTAGAAGAAAAAGATCTTGCTAATATAAACCATTTGAAGTTATACCTCTTTGTTATGGATTTGTGAGGGATAAGTTGGTTTCAGCAGTTCCTGCCAAAAAAAGTTTATAGCCTTGAAATTTTCTCCTCTCATTCACCTTTTTGTATTAAGGTTAATTGAATTGTTTTTCATATTAGCAGCAGTTTTGTAATGCATTTTTATGCTGTGTCTGTTACCTTCCCAGATAAAAATACCCCAAATCTTTGATGTTTAGCAAATCTTTGATGTTGGTGATGAGTGCTGATGAATAATACCACTTTTTTTTTTTTCCTCCTCCTTCTTGTGCACTAATTCTAGCCATCTGTTGATGAGCCAGCTTTAAACAAGTAATTTTTGCCTCTGTAAAGGTGGCAGAGGGAGGAGAGGACAAATCGCTAAAGTTCTTAAATGGTTCATTCCCACTGCACTTGGTCTGTAGAAGCACTGGAAAGCTTGTGCTCTAAGCTCAAGCTTAGTTGGAAATACTGTTACAAGTTAGAAACACAGAAATCAGCTGTATAATTTCTGTAAAGGAAGGATTATTCTTATTTTGCAGCATCTTCTGCCTTGTATGTTATTTTGTCCTATTTGTGTCAAAACCACATATCCTAGTTTTCATAGCTATGCCGTGCTATATTTTATACTTATATATCCCTATTCCTTTTTTTTAAAAAAAATATTTTAATATCTGAAATGCAAAGTTTTAAAGTATTTCTAGTTTTCTTGGTAATTGAAAGAGCTTTGTAACCATGGCTTTCTAACTGGAAATCTAGGACAAATCTATTGCTGAAATGCAGCTCAGCTAAAATTGTTTGAAGACTTTTGTTGACTTCCAAGGCCTCTCAGTGTCAACGGTCTTCCAACAGATAGTTTTCCTATGTTTCCTTTAAACAATACCCAGATTTTTTTTTTGATAAATGTTTTTTTATCCCTTCTTATGTGATGAAGGTATGACTGAGTAACTCTGAAAGAATTGTAATAACTATGAAATGTAGAAGCTGCTGGCTTTTTAATGAAAAAAAAAAAAGAAATTATCCTTACATTTTTAGTTACATGTATAAATAAATTTTTAGCTTTCTTTGTAAATAGTACTTATCTAATGTCGGCAGGCTGCATTAGTGACAAAATTGACTTGGATCAAAATCTTTTGCAACAGGGAGCTTAGTATGTGGAGCCATCGCAATAAAGCACCAGCAGAGATGATCTTTACCAGCAGAAATGATCAATGTGAAGGATTTGCACTGAGGCAAAACTATTAAATAGCTACGTGTTCTCCTAACACATACAGGCCCATAGAACTGCATCATAGCATGTTTTTCTTTAAATTAATTTAACTTTATGTGGAGAGGACTCTCAAGGACACCATGTTGGAGAAGAGTTGTCCAAGGCAGTGTCTGGCACCACGGAGTGAGAAGCCAGGCCCCGTATAAAGGAACCAGCTATTTCCCAAGGCAAGAGACGTATCCTTAGGAGGTTCCCTTTTGGCAGCGTTTGTGCTGGCACTGAGGTGCCCTCTGGCAGTGAAACTGCTGCTGTGTGCAGTGCCTGGTGGAACTGCAAGCGCAGCAGTTGCTTGCTGGCGCTTCCCTGCCGCGTGCTTCTCTCCTTCAGTTGCAGCTTGCGAGCAGCGCTCACTGTGCGTGTGCTCCATGGGTATGGTGGTGTGTGTGTGTGTGTGTGTGTGTGTGTGTGTGTGTCTGCCTGCTGGAAATAAATGGATAAACAGGCCTAAGTTTTCCATAACTGCAGTTGAAAGGCCTATATTTCTAGTCTTTTACCCAGTCTTTTCAATAACATTTGTAGATAAAAGTAAACAACTTAACCTGAATTACTGGTGAATACATCTTGCTGATTTCTCTGTCTCATTTTCCAAAGTGATATTTTGGGTGATCAGTAACAGTATAAAAAGTGATTCTTCAACTGAAATGCTGTGAGCTACTTATTTTGCTCTAGCTTGTACAACATTATTTTTGGTGTTACAAGAACAACAAATATTGGAAAAAAAGACAACTTTATTTGCCTAACAAACACTTCTTAATAACTTAAGAAAACTCTTAAGTAGAGCTGAGCACCTGGATTTGAACCTTGCCTATGCATCAGTGCTGAAATCATACTTGTGCAGAGAGAGTTTCACCTGGTAGATATTCAAAAAAAATTTTTAAAAACTAATAATTTTAAAAAACTTTATTTTTTCTAATCCCCTTTGAGTGTTATCAGAACTAAAATGGATGTACAAATGAGGGAAGAAGTATGTTTTTGGACATCAAAAGAAATCTCATTGTCAGTAACTTCAGAGATTAGTTAGCCATTCCTGGAAATGGCCACTTATATTAATGAAAGGAGAAATCAGTAAAATGAGAAAATGCCATCCAACTATTCAATTTTCAGTATTGTGCAGTGTAGTCTAAGAAAATAGGACGACCGAGAACGTAGTTTGTTATGCGCCCGTGGAGGCAGACCCACTAGCAAATCGCATGTTTAATTTCAGGATTTCCTAGGATGTTTTAAAGCAGAACAGGTCTAAGCTGTGGAACAATCTAAGGTTTAACTGAGAAGTAAGCAATTACATAACTGTCTTCAGCCTGAAATGGTTTTAATATATATATTTTTATTTTTTTCCAGAACTGGCTAGATCCTTCAAAGGAAATTAAGAGGCAAATTCGAAGTAAGTATTTCTGAATTGAGATATTATATGTCTTTATTTTTGCATGGAAATAGTTTTTCCTAAAGTTAGTAGCCCAGCTGATGACTAAACTGTATACTTATGTAATAGAAAAGGGGCGCGTTGTTCCTTTTTCATTAAGAAATGGGTTACCAAAGGAGTGAAAACAGGAGGCTTGCCTTGCTGCTGGATTCGCTTCAGCCGTTGAGGGGATGAAGAGAATCTGATTCAATGAAAAGTGGATTGGAGAGGATATAGTAGTGCAGGAGTTAAAGCAGCTTGTGGCAAATCCAGAGATCTAAGCTCTAACCTTGCTCCTCATCAACTCTGAAGACTGTTCAGAGGGACTCCTCTCTACATCTTGATTTTCAGTGGGCATTTAGAATGATATCTTACAGTGACATTTGCATTGGTATTTTTATGCGCATTTCAAGCTGCTCGTGAAGTTTAAAACATGAAGCTGCTGCTTCTACTACTTTGTTCCTTTCCCCCCATTCCTATCTTCATTCAGAAATTGACAGTATTAATTTACTTGATGAATTGAAAGAACATGAATTATATTTCAAGAGAGGTTGTGGAGTCTCCCTCTCTGGAGATCTTCCAAATCCGCTTGGACGCAGTCCTGTGCCACGTGCTCTAGGTGACCCTGCATGTGCAGCGGGGTTGGACTAGATGATCTCTAGAGGTCCCTTCCAACCTTGAGCATTCTGTGATTCTGTGATTTGTACCAGAGTGCTGACAAACCAGAGCCTCATGCGATAATAGGACCTACACAGCCAGCAACTCAGGGAGACCTAGGGGTGTCATGGAACTTTGCCTTTTTGCGTCCTAAAATATATTCTACCATACTGGCTAGCCACTAGACTGCCCAGGAAAGAGAACGATATGGAAGGCTATTGATATAATTAAGTATGTATATTTTCAAATAGCAAACAGCACCAAATGGTGATAAATTCATAAACAGGATCATGAGAGACAGGATACCACGATCTGAGAATTTTGTAGCTCTATGTGCTAAGAGAAGAGTTGTGCTATAGAAATTCCTATATCTCCACTAACGATAAAAAAGGATTTTGCAATGCGCTGATGGCTGAGTTTGAGCTGAATCTTCTCAGTGTGGTAGAACGATGGCCAGACTCTGCGTTTTAAAGTTTTGACAGGATGGTTTTGGATATGGATATTCCTTATGTCATTTATTTTCTTAAAGGTGATTCAAGCAAAATTTTAGAAGTAGTAGTTTTATTAATTTTGAGGGGAAGTTTTACATCTCTTTGTGTACAGTTTATCTGTCTTAGTCACACAGTACTCTAGAAATGTTAGCTGAGACACAGCAGTATCATGAGTAAATGGCACAGAAGGCATTTACTGGAATAAAAAAACCACTGGTTTCCCAGTTTGAATGTGATGAATCATGTTAATTGTATGCTGTTGGTTGGTTATATTGCATTCTTCTATAAGAATGTGCCTAAAGTTGCCTCAGAAGCATTTTTGAGGTAACAAGCTGACCATAAAATGTTTGACATTTCTCTGTGTTAAGCTTCAAAACAAAAAGCATTATCTGGGACAGAATGTTAAATACCACTTTAAATATCAAATCTGTGGAGTTTGTTTTTTGGCCAATTCAAAGCACCAGTGTAATAGTGTGCATTATTACACCAAGACAAATATTTTTTGTATGTCTCTGCTGCATAGCTATAAAAATAATTTTGAAAAAGGCATAAAAATGGTCTGTACACATACAGTGTAATGTACTTGCTAGTCTATTTTCAGAGGATAAATGTGCTTTCAGTAATCAGGTAAAATATAAGTCTACCAACTGTCCAGAGATTAAGTAGAAAGTCAACTACAACATTTTATCTATGGATTAGTTATAGGATTTAGTATGAGTGGACATCTGAAATTTTCAGTCTTTAGATTTGAGGATTTATGTTCTTTTCAGCTTTTCGCAGAGGATATAGATTTTTGGTCAGGGTGCAGGTTGCCTGGTTACTGTGCTTTCTGAAGAGTAACTGTAGAAAAGGTGAGAAGAAACAGAAATCGGTTAAGTAGCAGTTAGCCTGAGGCTAGTTTAACTGTAACTTAGACCAGGAAAAATGCTTCACAGCGTTCAGGAAAACGTTGTTAATACAGGTTAGTACCACTGCGGAAGGACTGGTCACTCATCTTTCATTCCCTCACCCCCCACTTTTTATGACAGCTCTTCCTAAGCACTCTTTACATGGATGCTTTTCATCCTGATTATTTTTCTCTATCAGTTTGGTTTACACAGGGCTAGCAGAATTCATTAAATAAGACTAGTTCCCTTAAATGATGAAAGTGGGTTAATGAATTATAGCTTTAATTCTGTTTTTTTCGTGTGTGTTTTTGGGGTTTTTTTCATGCTATATGTATTAGATGTTACTAGATGTACTTTTTCAGGGTATTTTGGTCTAATTCTGTCTTGTGGTATATTAGATTATGCAATGAGGCAAATCATATCCAGTGACTATTTGTACACTGGATAAATGAGGCTTTCTCTGTTAAGGAGTCCTGCCTTACATTCTACAGAAAGCGACTGTCGTTCTAATAAACTACTAGCAGGCCTGCGAAGATGCACTGAAATCCTCAGCTCTCAAAAGAGAAGAGGAGCTCTGCGGACGGTAGAAAAATGAAAAGCTCACATTTAAACAGAATTTTGTGGGAATTAAAATGCTGCAATGAATACTTGAATCTGAAAATATGAACTTTTGAATTTTGCATCAGAAATTTTTATTGAGATAAAGGACTTTTTCCACCTTTAACAGCTTTGGACTTTTAAAATAGTTTTGTAAAAAATAAAATCATTTCAGCACTCTTCTCTAGCAAAATCTTGGAATTGGAACAGTCGATTTTTTTGTCAAAATGCACATTTTTCAAAGCATGACTTCTTCTGTGTGCAAAACAGTTTTTTATAACTCTATTGAGTGTTAAATGTCCATCACTTAACAAGCTTTATAAAATGATTCTCCTTTCTTAATAGAAGGTTATTCTCAGGAAGACTTTTCATTGAATATTCATTTGCATTAGGAAAAAGATAGGGAGAGACAATAAAGCATATTAATTGTTTTGATAATGTAATATGATTTCTTATCTGTCTTTGCTATTTTTGGCTGAACAACACTGTAGTGTAATATTTGTTTGGCAAGATATGGAAAAACTTAACCGTATTTGCTTTGAAGTAGCATGTAAAAACAAACCATTAAATAACTTTATTTCCTACTTTAGGTTTTTCTATTATGTATGTATCCCAACCTTGTAATAAATCTATTTGGATTTGGAAATTTTTACATTTGCCAAGTTGTTGGTACTTTCCAGTGATATATTCTCTCATGCATAAAATTACAATGCTGGAAAAAGTAACATTCTAAGAACTGATTTTGATTATTTATGAGTTTTTTTTTTTTAAGGTTTGAGGGCTAATTTAAAACTAGAAATATGACTAAAGGCAGCATTTTGTGCTTTGTCAAATTGTTATTCTGGTTTTAAGCATGCTTTTACTGAAAAGGTACAGGTGCTGCTAATAATTTCAAAACATGAGAATAAAAGCAAGTTTAAAATGCAGTTACTGTTAAAACTGCTTTAGGAAAAAATATGGTTTTAATATCCAGGAAAAAAAAAGAACAACTTTGCTAAACGTTCTGTGTAAATACAAATAGTTTGCTACTATAAGTTTTCCCCTGTATGCGATACATTCCACTCGTACATCTAATGTTCACATTTGTACAGTACTTTCAGCTTCTCTCGGTTTAAACAGGATGGGAACATGAGTGCTTTGGAAATCACTGCAAACTCATTGCACACAGTTATTTGTAGCTGAACACAGAATGCCTCAAAGGTCTTAAAATAGTAGTGGTAAATGGTGGTTTTCAAATTAAACACTTTTGATATTTATGTAACTTAATGTGAATAAAGCATAAGAAATTTTGTTTTAAGATTCTAATCCTTTGCTGTAGGAGCTACTGTGTAGTGATGAAGATAATAGATATTTCTTTTTGCAGTTTATTAATAAGAAAAAAATTATTTAGCAGTTCAGTGATTTAAAATTAATGAAACTGAACAGTTTTTGGCAAGGTTCTTTCTTTGTTTAAGCTTGTTTGGAATAACAATCAGGCTTTCCCCATGTTTAGGTTTACCTTGGCTATTCACCTTTAATGTGAAGTTTTATCCTCCTGATCCTTCACAGCTGACTGAAGACATCACCAGGTTTGCACAGTTCATGACTTAAATACTGTGATTTTTTGATGGCCTCTGAATGGCAGAACTTTTCCGGAGGGGTAAAGTGCTGGGGAATCTGTATGCAGTGGCACGTGGAAATATTACTGTAGAATACTTACAGACGTCAAATACTTTTTGGAATGGGGAGATGAGGAGAGCCATGACATAAAAGGCATCTTGAGATAGCAGAAATTAATTCATTTAGAATGGAAGGCCTTTGCCAACCTCATCAGAAGTGACCTGGATAAGCCTATTCTGTGAGTGGTTAAGAGTGAATTTGAATAGGGCTTTTTCAAGGGCTGAAGCTGTGGTGGCAACTGCTGCTGGGTACAAGAAAGTGATTGTGGACAAATGCAAAGGGAGTCAACACAAATCACTAAAGACAAACTGAAAAATTGCAGGAAGAAAGCATAGAAAGAGGAATTTAATAAGTTGGGAGGTGATTTCAGGGGGAAGGAAGACAGACAAGGTAGGGTAAGAATGATCATAGTGAAAGAAACTAGTGGTGTATTGTGGGCTGCTCGTTTATTATATAGCAGTCATATGCTATATATTAAAGGTATGTGTGCGGAGGTTCGTTTTTTAAGAGCAAAACTTAAAAGGCCCAAGATAATTTAGTAGTTTTCTATGCCTGGCTGTTGGAAACAGTGTACTACATAAGTACTAAATAGATCCTTAAAACACAGCAAAACATGAAAAAAAAATCAACTTTAGTTTTTCACTGATGTCTACTGAGAACTTGTCAACACTTCAAAAGTACTCTTCTAGAACTAATATAATCAATGGGCGGAGTGTACAGAATTGAGTCTTTCCATTTTTTTCAAGATTATGGAAAATTCAACAGGCAGTTTTGGTTCAGAATTAGCAGTGAGTTTGGTTTGATAGCTGTGGGTTTTTTTTGTTGGCACTGGAAATCAAAATTATTCTTTTTCAGATTATTTATGAAAATAATGCTAACAATGTGAAGTCAATCTACTATGCAGTAATAGTGCTCAAAAATAGAATCAGGTGTAATGAGTTATTAATGCTTTCACTTCACAAAGTCCGTTTATGAGACCACATATATGTAAAGAAACTCTGCCATCTTTCCTATAAATCTTGCCATGGGTAACTCTATCTCTGTTCTTGTTTTCGTTTGTTCCCTCTTCCTTCATCTTGCAGATATTTCTTGTGCCTACAGCTTCGCCAGGATATCGCTTCGGGGCGACTGCCCTGTTCTTTTGTGACTCACGCCCTCCTTGGGTCATACACCGTGCAAGCTGAACTGGGGGATCACGACCCAGAGGAGCACCGTGGTGATTATATCAGTGAATTCCAATTTGCACCCAATCAAACTCAAGAAATGGAAGAAAAAGTTGTTGAGCTACACAAAACACACAGGTGTGCAAGATACAGTGGGAATAAAATAAATTGTCATGCTGTGTCACATTTATGTCCTTTCACTGAATCATGGAATGGTTGAGGTTGGAAGACACCTTGGATAACCTAGGCCAAGCCACCTACATAGGCAGGGTCATGTAGAATGCGTTGCCCAAGACCCTATCCAAAGAACTTTTGAATTTCTCTAAGAATGGAGACTTTAAAGCCTCGCTAGGCAACCTGTTCCAGTGTTCAGTCACCTCCACAGTGTAAGATAGTGTTTTCTCACTTTCAGGCAGACTTTCCTTGTCTTCATTTGTGCCCATTACCTCTCATCCTGTCACTGGGCTCCACTGAGAAGAATCTGTCTCCACCCACCCACCAAATCCTTATACGCATTGATAAGATCCCCCCTCAATCTTCTCCTCTTCAAGTTGAACAGTCCCAGCTCTCTCAGCCTTTCCTCATATAAAAGATATTCCAGTCCCTTCATCTCAACAGCCCTTTGCTGGACTTGCTCAGGGAGCAACGTGTGTGTTTCGTACTGGGGAGCTCATAACTAGACCCAGCACTCCAAATGCAGCCTCTCCAGGGCTGAATAAAAGGGGAGGATTACTTCACCTGCTGGCAGTGCTCTTCAGGCAACCCAGATACCCCGATCTTCTTGGTACTGTGGCCCACTGAGAGCTCATGGTCAACTTGTCCATCAGGACCACAGGGTCCTGTCCAGCAGGTCAGCTCCAGCCTCTACAGATACTTGGGGTTACTACGTGGTGCAGAAACGTGCGCTTTGTAAATTTCTCTTAAGAGTAGTGCAAAACTACTAAAATTAAGTTTTTTATTGCTTTGGAATTCTTCTACCAAGTATCTACAGCCTCTTTCATGTGTGTGGTGGTGTTAGGAAGGAAGGAACAAACCCTCTTTAGGGCAACAAGGCTTTTGCTGCCTTCCCAACAGAAGTTTTTCTCCATGGCTGAATATCACGTTTTCACTGAGTTCTATGATGCACGGTTGTTTTGCCTATTAACTGAAGGTTTATTCAATGGTTTTAGGGGCTTGTCTCCAGCACAGGCAGATTCTCAGTTCCTAGAAAACGCCAAGAGACTCTCCATGTATGGAGTGGATTTACATCATGCCAAGGTATTGAAATTTCATTTGTTTGCTTTGGGAGAAGACATACTTACTATCAAAGATGTAGTCTGTACAATTACTTTATTGAAAATTTTCATTCCCTTAATTCTTAGCTATAAGCCTTTTATCTTTTGATCATAATAATTATTCAGTTTACAGATCTGGCATTCCTAGGATTTATTTTCAGTCTAGATTTGTTAAATGCATAGTTATACACAACCTGGAAAGGGTATTTTATTCATAAGCATATCTAAATTTAAGTGTCGATTTTTTTTCTTGCCAAGGAGACTTGGGGACACAAAGTAAAGCCTAAAGGAATCAGTGATTATTTTTGTAATATCATGACTGTTTAAAAAAAGGGGAGAAGGAAGGGGTAGAAACTGGACCTTTCCATCTTTGAGGTGGAATCAAAAGGGGATTTTTTTCCTATTTTAGGGGGGTTTTTTTCTATTTAAAAAAATAAAAATTAACCAAACTCCCCCAGCCTCTCCCACACATGCAGAGACTTAAGTCATTAGGAAAATTCATGCATGGTAAGAATATCAGTCCTATATTTAAAAAAGAAGAAAAACAAGTCTTCTAAATACTGGAGAACTTGTTTTGTTCTGCCAGGTGTACTAATATGGACTTCTCCTTGTGTTCCCTAGAAATATTTGAAGGAAATATACTTCTGTCCATGTACATTAAATATGTCTGTAATATTTATTCATATTCTAATCCAAGAGCAGTGTGGCACTTGGTGTAAAGTGCTCTAAGGAGCTCTCACTTTTAGAGGGTTTTGGAACTTTGCTTTGTCATAGTGAAGTAGTTGCAAGAGTTTGTATGGCCAGGACCTGTTTGCAGCTGCTGGAGATCTGCCAGTGAGGTTGCTTTTTAATGACAGTACAACATGAGCACTTCATATGGTTGGTGTGTGGCTTGGGAGGACATGGGTTCTGCTGGGTGCCTGTGGGGTGGTACAGTGTCTAAGCCTTCTCACTGAGGACTTGTTTCTGCAGCCTGCTCCACTCAAACCCTGTCAGTAGAGCAGCGTGCTTTAGAGACCCTGCCTGGTGATGTTGATGTTCTCCCCCAAACTATTTGTTGCTTTCTGTATCCTTATTGCAATAATAAGTGTATGGAGAAGATCACTGTAATCACCAGATCACTGTTTCCTATATTTTTTTATAGAATAGTTTAAGTCAGAAAAGCCTCTTTTTAAATTTATCTCACTTTAATATTTGTTGAAGTATTTGGTTGTACAGCCACTACATTTCCCTTGCTTCTAAGTTGTTAATTTAGTTTCTATTGCCAAAATATCAGAGAGTTTTCCAGAGCTGTGGCATATAGTAATAGAGTGCCAAAGCCAATACTGAAATCCCCCAACTTTCCTTGGCTATTTCTCGTTTAAGAATCTTGTTTTCACAGTCTTTCAGGTCTCAATATGAAACAAGGCCCTGCTTCATTCTTCTCTCAAGGTATGCCAGAAATAATTACTTTATTAAACTAAATTTTCTGAAATTGTCTCTCATGTGGCAGGATTCTGAAGGTGTGGATATCATGCTCGGTGTATGTGCTAATGGACTGCTCATTTACAAAGACAGACTCCGTATCAACCGCTTTGCGTGGCCAAAAATTCTGAAAATTTCCTATAAGCGAAGTAATTTCTACATCAAAGTCAGGCCAGCAGAAGTAAGTAACACTTTCTTCATAGCTTAGCACTTTGAGATCCCTTCTATCCACCACCAAGATAACACACTTTTTTTTTTTTTTTTTCCCCTTTCCTTCAGAGGTCAGGATGATTCCTGACGAGCCTATGCTGGGTTTTGAGCTGTGGTTAAGCTTGGGATTGAGCATTTTACTTTCCTCTTCAGATTCTACTGCTTATATTTAGTACTTGTTTTAGTTAGTAAATGTATACCAAACAGAAAATCCATTTTCTTTTTTGCTAGTAGATGCCTGTAACTTATTTTTAAAATAAAAGCTAACAACACTGCCACACTTACTGCTACACAAGCTGACAGTACTGGAGAGAGCCAGCCTCTGTTCCTCCTTTCAGTATAGCCGTTCACCAAATGTCAAGGCACCAAGTTGTACGGGTGTAACTAAAGCCCTGACTTGTCCTGAAGGACTTTATAACTCTTTCTGTTAGACAGTATGGAACTTGCAAATTCATCTTGCTTTTCAGATGCTCTGATATGTTTATGGGAGTCACTGAGGGAGGCACGTTTACTTTTTAAACACATTTAACTGGAAATGTGTGCAAAGAAATGAACAGCATAATGCTACCACCTTACACATTCTTGGGTATAATTAATTTTTACTATAAGAATAAATTAATGGTATTTTATATCTATCTTGAGAAAAGGGTGTAAAATTATTCCTGAATTGCTTTTGGAAGCCTGTGTATTGTCTGCTACTCTGATCTATATTGGTGAAAATTTTAAATGGCAAGTCACATCATTTTTTTATTTTCCCCTGCAGCCTTATATAAGAGGAATGTACTACTTTAACTTGATGTAAAATCCACTGTAGCACCTAAAAGCAATTAGACAAGTCTTAGATATCTTTAAAAATATATTAATTATACTTTCTATTTTTTCTTGAAGTTTCTATGAACAGATTATTAGCTCACACAACCTTGTAAACAATTTGTAATTTCTCAAAGCACTTTGTGTATATGTGTGCACTCATGAAGTTCACAAAGCAATTTCCATACCCTGTTCAGAAAGGGGGCTTATTAAAGTGCAGAAGTCAATGAAATATTTTAGTGCAGGCAGATTTTACGTGATGTGACAGAAGCTACACTAATATTGATAATTCCTCCATTTCAAAAGATGAAGTGATTTAGTTTGAAATTTACAAGTCAGAAATGTAATGTAGTGGTTCTGTGGTTCTTGAATTCAAATAGGTAACATCTGGGAGTGCAAGAAGAACATAAGATGTAATATTTCTACTAAGAAGTTAGTAAATGAAATCAGATAAGATTAATACTGCAATGTGGATTTTAGACTTTTATTCAAGTAAAATGTGTAGCACAACCCACAGTACCATGACTTCTTGCAGTTTAAAAATGAATACATTGAGCAGCTAGTCAGAAAACTAGCAAAGAACACTGGAGCATTATTGACTTTCTTAAAGGAGTCATTAGTACAGGAAATGATAATGTGATTATTACCCTTCATACCTAGTCCAGACAATATAATTACATTAAAGGGCTGGAAACTGGTATTTTTTGAAATGTTATGAAAAGAGAATTACTGCTTTTTCCAATAACTGTATGAACTCTGCCTGCTTCTTAACAGGAAATTTAAAGAGATGTGTTAATTAATTTATGGATTCTTTCCAGCTGGAACAGTTTGAGAGCACTATTGGTTTCAAACTGCCAAACCATCGGGCTGCTAAAAGATTATGGAAGGTTTGTGTGGAGCACCATACTTTCTTCAGGTAAATGATAATGTTCTGCTTCCCCTGTTGCCAAGAGGTTCCCCAAGAGTATTGCTAGTACTCCTATACAGGAGGAAGTACTCCTGTACTTCCAAATATAGATGTATTTGGAAAAGATATGAGGAAAGAAGAATTTCTCTCTTCTTTCTCCCTAATTTCTCAGAGCAGTAACACCTCTTAAACAGAAAACACCCTACCAATCATTGATGCAAGTAATTAATTGCTTAGATTTTTTGCGTTGCATTTCAAGGTGATAATCATATAGAACTAAGCTAGTGATCATATACAGTCCTTCCTGAGAGTTCAGCTCCTCAGATTGGCTACCTGCAACACCCATGTGCTCCTTCAACAGAAGCTCTTGGGGTTTGGCAGTAACCTTCATTCACTCTTAAGAATCTGCTGAGTATATAAAATGCTGACAGATGAATTTGTGTTTGTTTATAGACTGGACTGAGTCCACTGTCATTCTTTAAAGAACAGAGAGTCATTTTTTTTAAAGAACAGAGTGCCATTTGTTTATGTAATAATACA